TCATTGCAGTCAGGTTCCGTGTCACATAACCACGTTTTTGGAATGCACTCCCCGTTACCAGACAAACACGCAAAATAATCTGGAGCACAAGTTGGAGGTTCTATAAAACACAGGATAATAATTCACCAATGTGATGTAATAACAAAGCATTTTTTACCCATTTCCGGTGAATACAAAGGATTAATCCCTTCCTCCAAACTCTGTCCCCCCCCTCTCCCCAAAGTTCTGGTAGACATTTGTCAGAGATATAAAAATCTAGTGTAAACATGATGATGACTTATTTAAGTGTTGCCTTTTCCTGTCTTTTTAGTTCTTTAATAAGTAAATCATTTTTGCAAAAGGCCTTCGAGGTCTAGCCTAGATCTAGATTACACCAACGCCACAAAGCAAGATTTTGCACATAAAGCCACTATATCAAATTAGTGCCCGCTCAAGGATAGAAAAGTTATGTGAAAATAAGAAATGACGACTTACCAATGCACTGTACCTCATCTTCGTGTAAGTTCAGATGGCTAGGGCATGAGCAGCGGGCAGTGCCTACCCCAGTTGGGATGCAGAAGTGGGAACAATGCCCATTCCTGAAAGAACAGGGCTGGGAAGCTACATTAAAACACAAATGTAAAAAAATAACATTATTAAACATGATTGCATTAAAAGGACTACCTGAGTAGTTGCGCACATCTAGTCTTGGTGCGTTTTTTTCACACCAAAACTATCTGATCACATCCAAAAAGCATGTTACTTAAGAATTTGCATTGAAGTAATAGTACAATAAAGAAGCGAGTGGATAGGGAATGATTGGTATTGTAATAATAGGTATCCCAATGAGAAAATTCAATTTTATTATTTTGAATTCTGTAAACATTAGATCTACAGAACTCACTGCACTGATCATTTTCCAGTTTAAATTATTATAATCCAATACACCGTTCAAAAGTTACGGCCCTTTAAAGATGGTAAAAAAGGGGGTCTGAATGCGAAAAAGTGGGTCATTCTTCTTCTTTTGGAGGGCATAACTTTGAAAGTAATAACATAAAATGTCTAATTTTCACAAAACCCCAAGATCTTATAGAGTTTTATGTGTGCATTTTTTTTTAGAATAAACTCGTCAAATTAAAAACAATCTGCTAGTTTTAATTGCATATTTTATCTTGTATCATACAAACTATGCCTGCTCTCTCGCATTGCACTGCGACAGCAACCGAACACATGCAGAGCAGTGGGCGAATTGGAACCATCCATTTTTGCAGCGGGGTAAAAATTTGGTTTTAAGTGGTAGTGATTGATGATTAATACATGTGTGATAAGTAAGCTTTACCGAATAAACAATAGTGTGGTCTCGGATGTTTTCAATTGTATTTACTCCCGAATTCACCATATTTCAAAATGTTTTCGCTGAATGACCATGCAAAATATGTTATTAAATGATAGGTTTTCAGATATAAATAAGATCCAGCTTTAATTTAGTGGTATTTTCGATTGGTTTTGTTCATGAACAATCGCTCAAAATGCGAACTTTGTCACTAATTTCGTTTTTTATGGTGGATGAACACATAAATTTTAGACGGTTTACACATCAAAATAAAGCTTGTTTAAAGCCTGATAACATGCAAAAAAAATCATTCCGCTAGCTTTGACGGTCATCAAGCGAAGTTGGAAAGGGGGTTTCCCAATGTTTTTTTATGCACGCAAATTCGGCTCACCAGGTTTTTCAACACATTTTAAAATCGCACTTACTCATCAAATACTACGTTAAACACTATAACATGCTTTTTCTAAATATATAAATTTTATTGGTAAAAATTCACAATGAGTATAGTATTTTCAACATCAATGTCAGGTCATTTTTACAAATCTCACGAATTTTTGAAAACTGTATACACTCAAAATGGCTTCATTGGGATACCTAGTAATAAGGTCTATAAAGTAGAAGATGATGATGAAAACAATGACAATGACAATTAGCAAAGTAGTACTCACCGTCTGTGGGCTTCTTGACAGCGAGTATATCAGTTAAGAGGTCCATACGTCCTAGCATTGTTTGTTGATTATCTCCCGAGTTCTTATTGGCACGTTTTATACATTTCATATGTTTATCCACCCAGTAGATGAAATCACCATAAACGGTCAGGCCAACAACCTTCACGATATTATCACTGACTGGACGAGAACGAGTACCACCTAAAAAAAAAAAAATTAATATTAAAAAAAAAAATTTTAATATTAAAAAAAAAATTTTAATATTAAAAAAAAAACCAAGGTATGAGTAAATAAGTGCACGTTTGTTCAAAACAGTCAACAACTAAAAATAATCTTTCATATGTTGGTCTAATATCTAAGAAATTTACATAAATATGTAATCATAGAAGTGGTTGGAACAACAGTTGTGGCTTGAAATCACAACTTTGAAGTCCAGGGTTCCAAAACCCTTGCTGTGCAAATTGCAAATCAATGAGAGAGACTCTTTATCCATGGTATCTCGCCCCAAACCAGAAGTATAAATGGGTACTTAGGATGTTCGAGTAGCAATTCGCAGATATATTCTTGCAGTAAATTATGGAATTCTCCCTCAGGAAAATGAGTATTGGTTCACAGACATCGTTCTAATGGCTTGGGGTAAATAGCACTGGGGGTAATAATGTGAAGTACAATGAGACTTTGTTGTTTAGAGCGCTATATAAAAACCAACATATTAAATTTACTTCAATGTCATGATCGCACGATAAAACTTACTTTACTTTATTCTTTATTCATATCAAAATCGCAGCCGAGACTGAATTACATGATATACAAAAAAAAATCTTAAAAAATAACTATATTCAACATATATAAAATACAAATTAAATTTATTTAACTAATTTATTGCTTCGTTATTATTATATTATGTATTATTATACACAATAAATAAGGGGGAAAATGCCAAAAAAATCCAAGCATTGCACAAGACATTAAAAATTTGCTAACCACTAAAATTACAGCGTAATTGGAAACACCAAAATGAGTAAATGAGAGAGGGGAAAGGGCAACAATATTAACATTTAAAAATTCAGTTAAAAAAACAAACCAGTACCGGTACATTGTGGTGAATACAAGTACTTATTTAATAATTATTTGATTGTTATTTATTATATATTTATAATTATTGCAGATAGGTCAATCATAAATTGAGGTCTGAAAGGTAAGAAATGAAATTACTCACTAGTAATATCAACATATTCAATGGCCTGTAACCTGTGGTCAAACCAGTAGACTCGGTTTGAATCTGCATCTGCCGTGATTGGACCAGGTTCATATAGGCCTGTGCTGATCAGCTCTAGGTGGTTAGTGTATCCATCTAGAGAACCCTGCTCCAGTGTAGGTTTGCCCTCCTGCATGTTGGTCCAGAACATCAGCCTAGAATTTAAATTTCAACAATTAAGAAAAAAACTTTTATTCCAACGTGTGGCTTAGTAGCAGATCAGATTTGATCCGATATTAATTTGAGGTTAGCGCCCACAGGCCAATTGTATTACATTCGCTGCCAACAAAAGAACCAGTCGAATACAGCCATCATTACAATGACCGCCACATATATGCAAACGTCTCTTAGAATATGAAGCTATAATAACTATAATACGGGGGAGGGCATACAAATTGGTCAGAGGGCCAAAATGATGGCTACAAGCAAACCTGTCGTGAAAAATTGATATTTCCATTCAGTGTGCTTGCAAAAACCTTCACACTGCTTTAATACCACTTTATGCTCAGTTTTGACCTTAATTTTTCTAGCCAAAGATGGGAGACGGGCCATCACTTTGCCACCAGTGCTTTAACGTAACTAATAATGAATGGTAAGGCAAATGTTTTTAAGGCCAACAAGACAGTAGTATTTATCTTCTTTGAAACATGTGACCCACTCTGGCAAAACCAGCCGTTTGCAGGAAAAATTCAAGATTGAGTTTTTGGTGTTATTGCAACCTGCATGAATTCTTAAAAAAAGTGTTTATTTGATGGAAATCGGTTGAGTATCAGTAAAGTTAAGAATATTTAATTGATTAAATATCAGCCATGTTGGTTTTGAGAAAAGAGCTTCTAAAGATTCTAAAATCAATAGTTTATTAAGAATTATAATTTAATATACTTTTCAGTTTTATTTAGTGATTTATATTTTGCGGAAATATTCTTTAACATATCTTCTTTTATAAAATGCAAAAAACATGAAAATGTTCAAAATTCTGATTCAACGTTTTGGGTGCTTGTCGGAAATTAGAAATTGCGACAAACAGTAGGTTTTGCCAGAGCCGATCACACATCCTTGGATAATTTACAGAGTTATTGAACGACTAAATGATAAACTGACAATAACTCACCCTTTCAATGGAAGCAGTGCAATACTTCTTGGTTTCTGATGAGGTTTTTGGACGATGGCTCCCATCACTGTTCCATTCGCCTGAACAACGTTAATTTGATTGAAAGAATCACAGGTCCAGAAAATCAGCTTGCTGTATGGTTCAAAGGCCATGTCATAAGGACTAATATCATTGCCTGAAACTAGTGGTTTGGGCTAGTGTAAAAAAAAAAAGAAGATATATTAGCAAATGTTCAGAATATTTCAGGTTATATACATATATATTTGTTTATCAAATAAAAAAACATTACTATGTAGATGAAAGTTTGGGCTGTGGTTTTAATGGTAAAGTGCCTGCCCTCCAATCTCAAAATCTTGGGTTCATATCAATGGATCTTTGAAAATGAATAAAAAAAAAATCAATAGTTTGAATTATTTTTATCATTCTATTCTAAAACAGACAAAAATCCATGTTTGTCGGCAGAATCGTGAAAAAAAAATCGCTGCAAGATGAGTTTTTCACAACAATTAGTCATTACTCAATTCAGTAGAAATCACCTCCAGTTCATAGAAACAACTATAGAGGGCGCCTGCAGTACAGGAACAATTTTAAAAAGAATTATTTTCATTCCCCCGGCAGTACCAGGAGCACGCAGCAAAAGTGTTAAATCGGAATTTTTCCCATGCTCCCAGTCTCTTAATGCAAACTGGTTATAAAGCATTGAAGACCTTGTCACATTTATTAACAATAATACCTTTGTTACATCAACATTATTCTTAAAGCAAATGCAGGTAATTCTATTTTTTGTTCGCATTTTCGAAGCTGGGTTCTTTCACCAAAGAAATCATGTTAACTAAAGTAATAGATCCATTCCTGTGGCTAATCACAAAATCAATTACGTTTTAAATTGAAGATTGCAATAAAACAAATTGAATAATACACAATCTTTCCAAAAGTCTTGACTCTAAATGTGTTGTTTATAAAATGTTATTAAATCATATTATCAGCCTGAAGCCAACATAATGATTCACCTAAAAAAAAGTTGTTTAAAAGAGTAAGCTATTAATAAGTATTATTTTTCAGCTTTTTTTCCCCTTTTTTAAAGATTAAATTACATTATAGGCCAACAGAATTCTGTATAAAAAAGTACCAATGGTGGTTTACTTACGGAAATACCATTGCTTTTTGCATGCATTATCTTTTTGTTCTTCTTGTCTATCCAGAATATGATTTCGGCCTCAAAATCATACTCAACCGCCTTCACGGTCTGGGTTTCGCTGATTGGAAGAACAATATCTGGTTCCTCAAAGTTAAATAACATTCGGTTCAGCGTGTCCCTTTGACTGTAAATCAGGAATGCTTCAGGAGCTGGGGATAGAAAAAAATAATAGCATTAATGAAGATATCTTAAGTATATACTATAGTATGAACAAATCATTGGGTAGAGGACAGAGAGATAATAGTCCAAACAATCCTGAGAAAGTTGTGCATAGCATTAGCACTGCTACCATGAAAAAAAAGGAACAGACACAAATGAGAATGTTGAAATCAAAGTCTTGGGTGAACGAAAGAGAGTTGGTAGTAATCTACCACTGTCGAGGGGTTAGAATGAAAGCCGACCAATGGGAAAAAGAAAAAGAAATATCATGGCTAGCCCAGGACAGAGGACAATGAAAAACATTTGTTGCTGCCTTATGTGCACATCAGCATAAGTAAGTAGGTAGTAATATATACTTACATAAGTAAGTAGTAAATATATACTATACCTCAACAGGTTAGAAAATTTCTCCTGATCTCAAAATCACATTCTCATTATAAATACCTTTGGATTACATAATAGTTGGACTAAACTAGACCAAGCTCGTTGAAAGTGTATATGTAATCAGATTGACATGTAGGGAATACTGCAAAAACTACAAACATTTTAGCTTTACAATGGTACCAAACACTTCATTCTTATCACAATTTGTGACCCGTAACAGTAAAATGAAAATGACTCACTTTTGGAGATTTACGCAATTTCGCACAACAAAGCAGAGATAATCGCAATTTTGTGAAAATAAATCAATACCGCTCTACGCTAAGGTAAGCAAACAAATAGTGAAATACTTACGGTCCAGATTGAATATAATGTTCAAATTGTTAGTACATGTCGGTAATTACCCTATCTATCGGATTCCGTAAAAAAAAATCTGAAACACAGAGCTCTCCGTGTTTGGCAGACAAGCGTTGCTTTACCAACCACTGAGATCTCCGTGTTTGGCGGGCTGAGTGTTAATGAAAAACTAGGCAGCAATAATTGAGGATGTGAGCAGACAGCAGAAACTAACTTACTTTACTGATTATATTTAATATATTTTTTTGTCTTAATTTGAACTTACCTGAACAGGTAGTGTTGTCCGAGTTCAATGTGTGGTGTGCTTCACACTTGCACCGAAAACCATCCGGATGTGCAAGGCACAAATCAGAACAACCGCCATTGTGGGAATTACACTTGTTAATCCCTACACAAAATGAAATGAGAAAAATAATAATACCATGAACCACTTGTCAACCTAAAAATATAAAACATCCTTTTTTTTTTTTCCTTTTGGGTACTAGTTTCATTATCCCCAAAGAAGCTAGTAGTTCTAATAAATGAATAAATGTCTGATAACAGTATGTTTATGTATGCATTTATAAAATTCAATTCAATTGTCTTCATAAAAATAAAGAAATTTGTCGTATTTTTTTAGAATATAATGTAGTTAGATTTACATAGCATTTTATAAAGGAAGTTTTAAAGCACTTAAAGTGTGGACTAGCTTGTAAAGTAACTTCATTCTCCACTAAGGGCCTTTTGTGTCTCAGACCCCCAGTAAACCTCGTCTGTCCACAAAAGATGTGTATGGACCAGTACAATGTGGTAGGCTCATGTGCCTCGAAAAAGATTACTGGGTTTTTTGAAGAACACATGAGCACATTGTGTACACTGAGCCTACCAGAACCATTGGCGAGTGTGCCGCTCGAACCAGCGTCGTAATGACTCTTGGCCGTGGCTGCCCTGCCTTAACAGCTGAGCTAATTGACTCGCTATAATTTTAATGCTTATTTTTAATCATCTTAAGTTCAACCAAAAAATTACCTGCTTGACGAGACTTGTGGAAAACTTTGATATCAAGTACATGATCTTGTTGGCCTTGAATGATCTCGCGTCCCGCTCCACTGGTCTTGTTCGCACGTTCAATTGTCATGGCTGACAAGTCAGCCCAGTAAATGAATTCATTGTACTGGGTAAGTCCTAGAGGATTTGTTATGCCATCTTGTACCACCTGAATTTTATTACTCCCTGAACAAGAATTAAAGAAAATTTTATTATACAAAATAATGTAAATATACAGATCTAAAACAAATAATACTAATTAAAAGTATGCAGATATTTATGTGTGTATGAATTAAATCTCAGAAAACACCCACCATCTAAGTTCGATGAATAAATCTCGCTGAGATCCAAATCGACCCAGAAAAGCCGACGGGCCTGATAATCGATGGTAAGTCCATTGGCACGCCCCTCAACAAGCATCAACACCTTCCGGTTTGTCCCATCCATATGTGCTCTTGCAATACGATATGGAGTACTCCACTCACTCCAGTACATATATCTATTTTTTAAGAAACAAAAGATATTGCAACTACTAAAAAATACAGGTTTCCTTCTAATTAACGACCCTCCAATTAAAGACTCTCCCTCTAAGTAAAGATCACTTCTCTGTTGTCCGAAATTGACAAATGTATTTTTTCTATATTATTATTAATAACAGAGGCCAAAGCTGCTAAAGACCTTGCAATCCCCAGTCCCACAATTGGTCTTCAAATTAGGGGGAAACCTGTATATTTAAAAATCACCAATGGAAGTAAAAAAAGGCTAAAAAAAAATATTCAACCAGATTTTTAAGCAAATGTTTAAAGTGAAAAATAGAGAGGTTTTGCATGCAAACGAATACATGTACACATATATGTTTAGCTATCCGTAACGGTTCGTAGCCATTCTGTGAAAAAAGGGTAAATATGTTGTATATGTGACTACTTACCCAGCTACTGGATCAAGAGCTAAGCTAGTCGGAGCCTCTACATCTTCCCAAATTAACACGCGCCTAGATGAGCCATCCAATCTCGATACTTCTATACGATCGGTGCCTGTGTCTGTCCAGTACAGGTTCTTGCCCGTCCAATCAACAGCAATGTCTTCTGGGAACTCAAGCCCATACTCAATGACAATTTCATACCCACTCCCGTTCATAAAAGCGGTCATTATTTCCTGTAAGAAAATACATTTTCTTATGATTATTACTACAAATATGGAATAAATATTAGTAGTTTATAAGGTACTTTATTGTGGTTAATTTGATTACTACATAATTTGAAATGTGAACACACTGAGGTAAATATATATCCAGTAACAATTCCATTTATATAAACCTTAAGTCAAATACACTTTCAAAAACTAGACAGTTATTTATTCATTTTGCTTTCCAAATCCGGAAAAATTATCCTTAAAATGGCTTTTAACTGCAAGACACATTAAATCCCAGTTTAGTAAAATTTGAAAATTGATAAAATTGTTTACCTTTGTCTTCCTGTTGAACCAATATATTCTATCACCAACAAAGTCAAAATCAAGGGCAGACCCTTCCCTTGCCCCTACGACTGGTATCGCAACATCGCTGTTGTTAGTTTCCAGCGCGATGCGACGAAGGCCGATGTTTTGCCGCAGGAACACAAGGAATGCTTCAGGTACGATGCAAGTCTTCTTATCTGCATGTAACTCCAACCCAGTTGGGCACATACAAACAACCGCGGCATGTTTATAAAAACACAGATTACTACATCCAGCATTTTCCTCATTACAAGGATTCGTTCCTAATAAGAGACACCACATGAAAAATGTGTATACTTATATTTAGTTACATTCATCCTTACACTGAGGCTTACACCAAAGATATAAACCAACCTTAACAATTTTGAGTAATTTTCTTAATACTCCATCCTCTTAATTAAGAGGTTTGACATGGAAATTATAATTCTGGAAGCATAATGACATTCGAAGGGGTCTTTCACAACTATCAACTTTTTAACAAGCGTACAAAACATAGGTTGGGGGCGAGTGGGTAAACAATGGCGTAAGATTTTTAAATAGTAATAAAATATCAGTCAAAAATCGTCACAACCACGAAAAAAGCTGCTGATATACACACATAGATGATTGTCATGAAAAATCGTACTGATGTACACTTGTGGAAATGTTGATAATTTTGAAGGCCCTCTAAAATAATTTCATTTCATCAAAATGCTAGCTAGGCCAACACCCCTAGCTCCCTAGATGTCCTTTATGAGGCCTAAGTCTAATATACGCTAGTTAGGTATGAAACTCATTTTTGTTGCATTTTCTGGTCTCAACCCAAAACTTAACCTAATTAATATGATAAGAGGGGTTAAACGATGACACACAAAACATTGATTCTTAATAAATTGGCTTCCTTGATTTATAGGTTGCATGTGTCACTGTTTGCAAAAAGATACATGCATAACAATGAAAAAACATCAATAAAAAATCATATGAAATTCAATCAGCTAACTGACATTGACATTTATATCAAGCTATAAATTCTAAATACCAGTACCATTATGGATTTGAAACCTTACCTGATTTCTTTGTTAGATCGATTGCTTTGAGGCCCATCAAATCCGGGAGTGCGTCGATGATCAGTTCGCGGTCCTTACCGGTATATTTATTCACACGTTCAATACAACGCCGCTGCCAATCAGTCCAATATACATAATCACCTAAGATGGACAAGCATAGGAAGTACATTATTAATAATATACCTTACTTTTTTTTAATGTTAAAAATTTGATCAAGTTATACAGTTATTTTGGTTTACTAATTTAAGTATATTACTAATTTGAATTAACAGTTAATCAAATGTGTTTATATGTCTATGGAAACTCCAGAAATATATCCTGTGTTGGGATTTAGAGGGTTTATCAGACATCAACAAAGATGACTTGCATTCTCATTTCTTTTCCTTGTATTCTGTATTTCTAGTTGTTGTGTTGTTGAGCTGATATCGAATAAAACAAATCAAAGTAAATTTAAATTATATAATTCAATGAGTATTTGCAGTTTTAATTTTGAATGTTTGCAAAAATCCTGTATGATAATTTCGTCTTCAAAAGCAAAGCAATAGCTAGTATAGGCCTACACCTGATATTCCCTCAATAAAGATTTAGTGGAACCATTCTTGCTTCTTAGTATATTATTTTTCAATCATCAATAAAATAAACAGTAGGACAGCCTTTTGTTCCTTTAAAATGTGTACAATCTGAGGGTAGGGACATTTTCGTAAAATTTGTTTGATCTACATTTGCTGCAAGATTTCGATTTGAAAAACTTTGGTCAAGCTTCCACAGGCAGGCTGGAGTAGCTAAAGCTAAGCATTTTCTTTTCAGTTTCTTTGTATTCTGTATTTCTAATTTTTGTGTTGTTGAGCTAATATTGAATAAAACAAATTGAAGTAAATTTAGATTTTAAAAAATTTCCACAATAAAAAGTATTTCTGAATTAAACAAAATCTGAGGACTGTTGGAACTGAAACGCCAGGGCTACACCAAAAGAATTTCGATAATATTTTTGGATTGTTCCTTCGGGAAGGAATGACATGCACAGAGAAACGGATTTTCATCCCCAAAAACTACATACCAAGTAAGCTAAAACCAAATATATGGGGGGTTTCTGAAGAGTCAACCAAAATCACACGATTTCTACCGTCCAAGTCAGCTCGCTCAATCCTATCGGTTTGAGCATCACCCCAGTATATTTTCCGTTGTTCGTAGTCGACAGCAATACCATTGGGCCAATTCAGTGATGTGTTTATAAGAATTTTACGGTGACTCCCGTCTAATGCTGCACGCTCTATCTTAGGATTTTCACCCCAATCAGTCCAGTACATATATCTACAAAAAGAAAAAAAATATATATATATTATTCAGATAACATTAATAACGCTAAGTGTTGAATTGAGTGGAAATGGTTGGCACACAGTTGATTTGTGTTGTCTATTTGGTGAATACTCAAAATTTATAATTTAAAATTGATAAAATATATAATTCAATGAGTATTCACAGATTTTTTTTTCCCCCTTAAATAATTTTTTTGGCTGGCATTATCTTCCACTAAATAGGAATTAATTATAGAAATTACTTTATACAATGCAGTAATGTAATAATTCTAATTGTTAGCAACTAGATCATGCTAATTTGTTGGTACTTTTTTCACAATATTTATTCATTCATTATATCTTTGTAACAAACTTTTAAAAGTTCTGTTGCCAATACACACAAAAAATATCTTGTACTCTGTTAGAAAACAAATTTGACTATGCCTTTTCCACACCATCAAATTTTGAGAAAATCATGTGTAATGCCTAAATATGGTAATGATGACAATACATTATAACCATATACAGTAGAACACCTCATTTACGAACCCCAATTTTACGAATTCCCGATTTTACGAACGTAATATAAAGGTGATGACGTCATAAAAATTGAAGCGAAAGATTAAAAAAAAAAAAAACCCGCTTGAATTGTACCTGTTATTACCATGCATAAACACAACACACCATACTATACAGTACTATGTAATTCTCAAGTGAAGGAGGCCCTCTAACGGGCCTCTTCAAAGTCAGTGTTTTTTATGGCTTCACACATGCGCATGCGACAAATTTTACTTCTCTTTCAAACATCGTTTTCAGCTTTAAAATTCAACATAGTGCTTGATTGTTTTATTGAATGATCAATATATATAATAAACAAGTATCTATGGAAGTTGTGTTGGAATAAAATCCACGATCTAGGTATTTAAGAAGGTAAAAATGTCCGATAAAAACAAATTTGTGCAGGGCCTAGAGTGGGATCAGAATGCTAGAAGCTGCCAACTGTAGGCCTAGGCCCCCTCAGACTTAACTGCGCAAGCCTGTAGGCCTAGCCTAGGCCTAGTTTATGCCAGTGTAAGTAGTATCAGTGCAAATATATAGGAATTTGGGTCAACCCTGATTTTACGAATACCCGAATTTACGAACGGCTCTGGGCCCGTGCCGTACGTAAATTAGGGGTTCTACTGTATAGGTACATCTTAACTATATATGGTAATGATGACATCACATTATAACCATATATAGGTACATCTTAAAGTGCCTCTGCCACCTATTCTGACAATTTTTATAAACTACAGTGTGTTTATATTTATAAATATATTATAAACACAAGTGTTGGTCATAAATTACGAATAAAATTGATTTTGTACGAAAAAATGAGTTTAAAGTGTCATTTTTGAAAAAGAAACAACGAGGTCACTCAATGACGTCATTGGTGACCGACTTTGCCAAACTTCAT